TTTGCGCGTATCTGGCTGGTTTTTAGTTGAAAAAAGTGATCTAATATGCTCAAAAAAGGATGGCGATTATTCTGGCATATTATTTTGGGTGTTGGCGTCGCTTTTTTTGGGTGTTAGTGGGTGTTCGTAACGGAAAAGTCCTAAAGAATCCTCTTTGAACTAAATTTTTTTGATGCTTGTTTATTCACAAAGAACAGGTCTATCGACCGGCTATCTCGGATTTTAATTTGGGGGTGCTAGTGGGTTTTAGTAATACCCGAGGGTGAGGGACAAATTCTTTGTTCCAAATGAGAAGAAATGCAAAAGGCTCACTGTTCTTATAGCAATTACTATCCTGAAAGAGTTCTTGAGAAATGCGAGTACCGGTCGCTTATCGGTCAAAGTTTTTAGAAAAATGGTCGGTCAACCGGCCGATCAAGTCCGGTCGTCGGTGACCGGCCGGTACCGGTCATGATTTTGTCGACCGGTTGCATCTCTGGTAACAAGACTATATTATACGAAAATAATCATTTTTTAACTCAAAAAAAAATGCCCACTGTGTACTGTTTTATCCTCAGAATGATACTGATTAGTGATCTATTAGAAATACTTCTGTTGTTTGTTTATTGACAAAATACTACAGTTGGTTCTATATTTTACAATTGTTCTTCAAAATGGCTGATAATCAAATAAGAAACTTTTCAAAGAACAGATATATTTTATATATTTTCTGTGAAACATTTTATTTTATTTTGTCAATAAAAAGAACATTATTAAATTAGAAAAATTATAGAAAAATATTCTACTAAACGATTACCAATCAAATTCATATTTCTTTTTTGAGTTACAACCGTCAAGTTTGAAAAAAACATGAACAGAATCACAAATCGTTCAAATGGATAAAATAAGAACAAGCAGAATGTCAATTCTTTACAATTATTGCCCAAATTTATTTGTAAATTCAATTAATGATGAGTTTCTGCTGTTCACGCCGTTGAAAACACAGATTTAACAGATTGTTTTTCTTTCATTTTTATCTTGTTTCATTCTCTATTGTCACGTTCTTCAATAATTTAGTGATACTTGTCTTTTGTTAATATTTTTCATCTAGCTGACTATGTTCAACAACCAGAAAAAGAAAAAAGAAAAGTTAGAAACTCATAATTCTTTTTTGGACTAAAACTAGAAAAACAATCTATATACTTTATTAATGGTGAGACTGTTTAATATTATAATGAAGATGATATTTTATATAACTGTTTCTCAAACAGGTAAAATAAGAAGAATGTCGTGATTGGATACTTGTCCAAAGTCTCTTATCTTTGTAGTTTGTATGGGCAGCGATGTTGCAAAAAAATTATATGAAGATTTAATGCGAAAGTATGACAAGCGTGTAAGATGAGATTACAACTATTTTAGAAAATTCTGTTAGCTAAACAGTTCATTTTCAAAGGTTTACTCATCGAATTGATTAGTGAAACTTTTTAAAAAAAATAATTAATTATTAAATGATTTTTAACCAGTCAATTTCTCCCAATGTATATAGGTTCGTCCTACTGTCAATGCCACGGATAGTTTAAATGTTTGGATTAGTCTAAGTTTATCACAATTAGTCGATGTGGTAAGAACTAACGTGAATCTTGTACTTGCTTATTAATGTTATCTGATTCATTCTATGACGAAAAAAATCAAATTATGACATCCAACGTTTGGTTGAAACATGTAATGTGTATGAAGCTATCTATAAGTAAAAGAACTAGATTTACCAAACATTTATCTTTAGATTTGGCGTGATTATCGTCTTATTTGGGAACCAGCCGATTACGATAATATTTGCATAGTTTACATTCCATCCGTTGAATTATGGCTACCGGACATTGCTTTGGTAACGTTCATGAGATTGTGCACAAGTTGTCGTATTCATAGTTGAGAAAAATCTTACGTTAGAAAATACACAGTGTACATAATGATAACAAAATGAAATACAGTACAAATATTCTGATCTTTGCGAATCATTTCAGTGACGGATCATTTTATCGTACCGTCTAGTGTTACTGTGTTCTTTTTTAAATTCATTTATTTTCTCGTTAGTACAACAATGCCGATGGCGAATATACAATAACGTTAATGACAAAAGCGTCCGTATTTCCCACTGGTTACATCATTTGGGATCCACCATGTTTGTATAAGAGTAGTTGCGCGATTAATGTGGAATTTTTTCCATTTGGTAATTTGGCATTTAGAAAATGACTGTTATAAGACCAGTACACAGTTTTATATATTTAGACGAACAAGTGTGCACCTTAAAATTTGGTTCATGGACGTAAGTTTTTATCTGTTGAATTGAGGAGGAATAGTGCGCCTTGCGGCTAGTTTTAGCGGTATAAGATGCTAATAAGTGTCAGTAACAATAGCCAGATATCTTCGCTACAGTTGTCGAGCTTCTGACACGGTCACCCATGCTGTTATTAGCCATCAACTGCAGCTCTGATTAGAAGACTAGTCTAACGCACAGTTCTTTCGCTCAATTGTTTCAGAATTCCATTCACACCCACTAAACACGTATTAACTTTCCGAAAGCCATGGAGACTAACTGGAGAAACCGCACTGTACGACACAATGTAGTCAGTATGATATATTGGGCGGGTGATTCGAGGCATCAGGACATGACTAAATTGCCTAGGCTTATTGCATAACTTGTCGGTACCGAGATTCAACAGCATCTTTGAAGTACATGATTAACAATAAAGCAACCGAGTTATGCCATCATTCATCTATTATACACCATACAATTGTACAAGGCAAAAGAATCGTAGAAATTCTAATGCTTTTTGTTCACGGATTTTTAATGCTCCTTTCTATACTGTTTTACCTATCGATGCTCTTCCCGTTTAATCAGATCACGGGGTTTTTCTACGCTTTTTTATGGATGGATTTTTATTAGACGCTTTTTCCATATAAAAGTTGCGACAGAAAGAATGTGCAGACACATACACACTAGAATTTATTTAGTTAGACTAATTAGCTCCCAAAACTTGTTTGTATTTTTTAACATATCACCACGAATATGTTTTGAATATTGATCTTCAATACTAGTCCTCAGGATGACTACTTTCTTTTCAAGTTTTAATGACAGGTCCACCAAAGGAAGAGAAAAATGGAAGTGAAAAACTTCTAAATTTTTGTGTTGAAACTGGTGCTGTTTATATATGAATTATATGGGCAGAAAAAAGCGGCGAGCAACTTTTATGTTCACAGACTTTTCTCTCATAACTTCTTCTATATATAGGTTTTCTTACAGTTATTCTGTTCACGGATTTTCTGTCGTGAGTTTTGTTTTCACGATTTCCACTTTTACCGATATACTCCACGATTTTTGCATTCCTATATTTTATCTTACGATTTTTGCTTTACAACTTAAGGGGGAATCTCTCTACTCAGTTTTGTTCACCAGTTTGTAGGATACTTCGGAGTATATGTCTCAATAAAGCTTTCGGTTCCCGGATTTGTAGTTTTTAATTAAAAATATTTTGAAATTATTTGCGGATTTTCTGTCCTATTTTTAAAATTTCAATAAAAACTTCAGTTTTTGATATGAAGAGTTCATTCTAGCGTAATTCGATATAGAACATTAATTTTTATAAGAAGAACTGTTCCTCTTTCCCGAATGAACTTTGACGCAGAAATTTAACGCCCACCTTCCCGAGGAAATTTTAGAGCTAAAAGTATTTGAAAAAAGCTTTACGGTTAGTTTCGCTCGAAGCAAGCATTTTGAAGTAAAAGTCTGGATACAAAAGTTGTTCAGAATCGAATTCTGAAATATCTCACGAAAGCTTTTTTGATTTTTGAATTGAAAAATATGAAATTTTAAAATTTTAAAAACCAAAAATAGAAAATTTTGAAAAGCGTGAGCGGTTCCGGAATTCGATTCTGAACAACTTTTACTATTATTACAAAATTTCAGCAGCCAAAAATGAATTCTAGAACTTCTAAGGTAGCCTATCTTGTAGCCTGTAAAATTTTCTATCAGTTGAGATATTGCTTGAATATTTTTGTTGATTTTACAAATGGGACTTTAAGGTAGTAGAGTAGGCTGAATTAACGTTAATTAGTACTAATTAGTCAATAACAGAAAGGAAAGAACAAAACTTTTTACGCATTTTCTCGTAGTAAATATTCCCCACACATTTCTCTATCGATCTAGGGGAGAACCAAGTTTTTATGACAAATGAAGAATGGACAGAAATTCTTTTAATAATAGTCCCAAGTTCAAAAATTTAACAATATTCTTTTAAGTAATTAATTTTTTTTCAGCCAGATTATGTCAGTAAGCCGAAAAAACTTCAGGACGTATACTTTGAAGTATTCTCTACAAACCAGGAACGTTAGAGAAAAATGTAAGTGGGAAGACCCCCCCCCTTAAAACTCACGCTTATTCCACAGTGGGTAATCAAGCGGATACTTGGCAAAAAAATGAAAGTGTGCTTTTTCAAAATTCAAAACAAACAGTGTCAAATATACTCTGATCTACGGACTGTCTAATAAAGTAAAAGCTTTTGTTCAAATTGCGAATTTCGGAAAAAATAGCCTACAGAATATCGGCTCTAAGAAAAATCCATTTTTTTATTGAAATAAGCTAATCCAAAATTATAAAAAGCTTATGTCCATTTATAAAAGCATGTCTGGAATCTAGACGCTGTTACAGCGGACGGAGTTACAGGTTTTTAGGCTTTTCCCATTTTTCTCGGTATGGAAACACTTTTGGTGAAAACTAATGTGATATTTGGCATCAACATAGAAAACTGCGTCGAATGACGTATGATTAGTTAGTTTTACAAATAAATCTTTTGTGGACAAAACATTCAGGGCAAGGCAGGGCTAACCCTTGGCGATTTTTCATCGAAAAAAAGTTCTTTTCGAATTTAGTAGTAACTTCAAAAACCAGATGTCCGCCTGCTCTAGAAAAATGCCTACTGTGTATTCCTCATAGTTTTCTGCTACACGGCTTTTTGAACATTTTTTATGCTACGACTTTCAATTTTATTACACCGTTTATTCTTCGTATAACGAATTTAAATATCTGAAAATTACTGACTCACTTTCTCCTGTAGGATTATCGATTTGCTGTTTCTATTGTTTTAGTCATGATGGTAGTCAACTGAATTTATCTCACATAAATTCAAAGTTGAGTTATATGGAACAAGGTATTAATTTTCGAGATTATTACCATAACGTTGAATGGGACATAATGAAAGCACCAGGAAAACGTAATATGAAGATATATTCTTGTTGTAAAGTACCCTATTACGATATTACATACCAAATAGTTCTTCGACGAAAAACACTGTTTTATACTGTTAATTTGATTATACCATGTGTTAGTATATCACTGTTAACAATATTCGTTTTTTATTTACCAAGTGAATCCCGAGAAAAAATTAGTTTGTGTATATCGATATTTCTAGCTCTCACCGTCTTCGTTCTTCTATTAGCCGATTTAATACCGTCAACATCGCTCATTGTACCACTGCTAGGAAAATATCTTTTGTTCACAATGATTCTAGTAACATTATCAATCCTTTGTACAATTATTGTATTAACCATTCATTATAGAGATCCGAAACTAAACGAATTACCCTCTTATGTTCGATATATTTTCATCGATACTTTACCCAAATATCTTCTTTTGGAAAAACCTTTAACAAAAACGGATTTAATCACAAGAACAAGTCAAAAAAAGGTTAAACGATCAACTGAACAACGAAAACACTCACCACTATTTATACGAAAGAAAAACATTGCTTATGACGATGTGGAACTTAATGAATTTGAGCAAAGTGACGAAATATTTGTTAATGGCTTTTTTAACCAACTTCATACTTTACAAAAACTATTGACGAATGATCTTATCAACAACACTACTGAAAGATTTACAACTCAAATGCAACACGATAGGGTAAATACGAAAGAGATAAGGCATACCGCTCATTAGTACTTTCTCTATGTTTAGGTTGCTCAAGAATGGAAATATGTGGCACTCGTTGTTGACCGTATATTTCTAATTCTATTTACATTTGTGTCTATCGTGGGAACACTTTTCATATTTTTGAAGGCTCCAACATTGTACGATTCAAGGGTATCAACCGTTGATTTAACCAATATTGATCAAGGCGTAAACAATTCTTGTACATATGTTCATTAATGTGTGTTAAGGTGAATATTTCTTATGCAAACGCCCAATAGTCGTTCTATATCAGTCTTACATTAATCTGTTAGGCGTTAATTATTGCATCATTTCTACATAACACGTATAACTTTATTCCTTTCTAGTAAGTTCTCGTATAGTGCAGTAACTAACTACTTTTCATATCTTTTTAAAAAGCGCTATAATAATAAAAAGTAAACAAATATACAAAACTAATTGAAAAAGTCAATATCAAATGTAAAGGCGCATAAAAAGCAAGACCTAAGAAACTTAACCTAAGAACTTAACCTAAGAAGCAAGATCTAAGAAACTAAGACTTTTGTATAAAGCAAACAGAGATATTTCCAAAACTCTAGAAATGGATTAGTTAGCTACTTTTTTATAGATTTTGGACTGTACTCTAGCTTTATTTGTTGTCTTTTCTCGTATTTACTATGGAAGCTGGCTATCTCTACAGAACCCAATTGCAGAAAATCGAACCCCAAAGAAATTCGATTGGTTTCGAAATTTCGAAAAATGAACCCGATTCATTGTTTAACTGGTTAAAAAGATTAGCTAGTATAAATGATTAGTCTTAAAATATTGTATCAGTAAATATATTAGTCTTAAAATGGTATATTAGTAAAAAAAATTAGTTTTAAAAAACCAGTTAAACAATGAATCGGGTTCATTTTTCGAAGTTTTTTTTAGCGTAAAGGGTTTTTCGGCTTGAAAACCAAGATCTTCAAAAAGCGGGGAGTTAAAGTCAAAATTAGCCCAAACCATTATGAAATTCGGAATCAGCATGTTCGATTACCCCCGGTCAAATGAGTCTTAGCTCAAAAGCGAGGGAACACTTGGTGACCTTCCCTTGTAAGTTTCGTAGGTGCGTGCTCAATGTAATTAGTTTCCTGAATTTTCCTAAACTTCATCCCAATTCAAACACCTATCAATGTGTTCGTTTATATACATTGCATCTATGATGAATAACGGAGTTTGATAATATAGAATTTTCAAAATCCTCTGCTATTCCAGATAAAATCCGTTGTTTTGGGCTCAAGAACGTTTCCAATAAAAAATAAGCTGATAGTCAGAACCAGCGTGAGTTTACTTTTGGAAAATTTAGTCTAAAAGCACATTCTTTGCATTTGATTTCAAAGTTCAAGTGTTTGATTCCATCAACTGTGTAGTGTTCTTTTGTACTTTGCTTTTTTCTGTTCCATTTTATCTCTCTCACTCACTCAACATTGCGTCGACATGATGTTGTTTTCAAAACATTTTCTAAGATACTTTTTCTCGATCAAAAAATTGCACACATAGTGGAATTATCGTAGAATAAAGTTTTAAACGTATAGCACTGTGTTTTTCAATTCAAATGTTTGCTTTCTCTTAATCCTCCACACTTGTAAAAAGAATTCTTATGTCAATAAATCGCCCATGTATCGAAATGTATTTTTCATCAATTAAATCTGCAAAAATAAAAATCTACGGTCGATTTTTGCATAAATGTTCGCCTAAATGTCCATTGTTTGTAGAGGAGGGGTAATTACTCAAAAAAAAGTGGTTAACCTCATTTGTATACAGTCCCTGTTCATATGAGCTTTTCATAATCATAAGTGTTTTTAAGTACTAAGCACTAACGGTTTTTCATCATCTTCGCATTACTAATGCTCACTTGTAATTGAAAAATCATAATTGAGCATTTTTATTACAAGTGAATTAATTCTCATCTTTTAGACAATTATCGAGATACAATTATCATTGCTGCAATCTTCGGAAATAGATGATCAGGTATATCAAAAAAACGGAACTCAGATTTCTGTTCTTCTGCTCTTTTTGCCCTTTTACCGCCTAAAAAAGACGATTAAGACAAATTTCTAACAGATCTTCGGTAAATATACTTCTTGCATATTTGAATTTGACTGCTGTTCTTTTTTTAGTCACTATATCGTTTTTAAGTGGTGACTTTTGTATAAAGCAAACAGAGATATTTCCAAAACTCTAGAAATGGATTAGTTTAACTAATGATACTAAGAAACTTAGTATAGAGTAGATACGAAGAAAAAGTAGCTAATAGCTACTTTTTTTATAGATTTTGGGCTGTACTCTATCTTTATTTGTTGTCTTTTCTCGTATTTAGTATGGAAGTTGGCTATCTCTACAGAACCCAATTACAGAAAATCGAGCTCCAAAGAAGTTCGATTGGTTTCTGTGTTATTCAACACCATCGGATGTTTCATATTGTGATACGGCAGATTTGCAGCTGATGGATATTTGAAACTATTAATGTTCAAGGCTGAATAACGCTGATTAGCCTAGTCTTTTTTTTCCTATCATCTGTTTTACTTAAATAACTTCCTGTAAATTAAACAAAAAAAGAAAAAGACACAACAATAAAATTGCCTACAACAACCGCGCGAACACGAATAACACAGGACAGTTGCACTTTTGTTCACCGACAAAGAGTTTAACTCGAAAATTAAGCACATTTATAGGCGTCAGAGAATGCCTATAGCATTTGGTTTTGAAAGTGTAGATTATATTTAACGGGTGCCCCAGAATAAATGAGCCACTTTTGTTCTTTGTTTTTGAGACACTTTCCAGTGATTCAAAGAGTTGGTTCTAGGCTCATTCGATAGAGAATGGAATTCCCTACAAACCTGCTATTCAAATTACTGATAGCATTTTTCTCGTTTGAGCACCATTCAAAATAACGAATGGTGCTGGGTTGTCGAATGCGACGTGCTTTTATCGTCTCCTTTTGGGAGATTTTTAGCCTATTGTCTGAGGTTCAGTAGTTAATTTTTCCACGTACAAAGATAGAGACTTTTATGTTCTATCGATCTCGCTCATTCTTCTTCTTACAATGTTTTTAGTACGTCAGCCGGACTCATTCTCAACTAGTTTTTCAATTTTTTCAAATTAAATTAATTTTGTTAATTAATGGTTTCAATTGAGAAACTTTGTTTATATATCAGAAGATGCAGAATTTAATTCTGGGTAAGGTAATAAGATTAAAACCTTGGATTCAGAACGTTTTACTGCTTTTATAGTTAAAAACCTAAAGTTTGTGAAAAAAAGCTTCAAAAGGTAGGCTTTTTAAGATTTATCAGCTTTTGGCATAGAGAAATTTTCCTAGAAGACGTAACTGCAAAATTTCGAACAATATGTGAGAAGATGCAGAATTTTCCGGTGAGTCTTCTAATATTTTCAAAATTCTTATGGAATCTATTTTGGGATCAAGGCACATATGTTTCTATTTTCAGTGGATCGCACAGTTCGACATTCATTATTTTGAATGGTGCTCAAACGAGAAAAATACTATCAGAGATTGGAATAAAAGGTTTGTAGAGAATTCAATTCTCTATCGAATGAGCCTAGAACCAAATCTTTGGACCACTGGAAAGTGTCCCAAAACAAAGAACAAAAGTGGCTCATTTATTCTGGGCCACCCGTTAGAGAAAAAGTGTGAAGAAAGAAAACTAGATCAGTGTGTAATGACAAATAGATAATAAATAGAGCCATTTCGTTTATCTGAAGAATATGAGTTTCGAATGACTAGCCCTCTGTCGGGGAATGTTTGAGATCGATTTCTGTCACTTACACATGTGCCAGATATCAAAACCTCGCACGATAAAATTCTTTGAAAGTCTAACTTGCTTCGTGATTTTATATAAGTAGAAAAAATTACCCGAGAGATTCATTGCAATATGGAGGACAAACTGACAAAAAAATTTCCTAGCGTAAAAAAAGATACGAAAGAAAAGAACGAAAAACTGTTTGCAAAAGAAAGCTCCTGAACAAAAATTTGAGCTTGAAAAAAAAAAGTGGCACAGAAAAAAAAGTGGACAGAAAAAAAAAATATTTCGTACTTTCCGCATTCAACACAGGTGCCATCCACACACTTTCACACATAAACGGCTTAATAGCTTTCACACTACTGCATTTGTTTCATTCGAACATGTCTAAAATGGAACCTTCGCCGTTCCAAAAACCTAAATAGAAAGGAGTAACGTTCAATACCTATTTCATAACTGTATGTGGAAAATGCAATCAAGTCTAACTTTTTACGTAAAATGATAAGTCGTTCGTGCGTCGTCGGTAATTCCATAAAGCAGCAGGATTTCTTCTACTATGTTTATTCACGACCAGATAGAGTACGCCGTGCCGTGCTACCTAGCAAAAAGTCCTACTTGATTTTTCGTTGGATTTTTAAAAGTGCGAACCCCAGATGAAGCACATGTTACAAGACCTTGCCTTAAGGTCTCGTAGGATCTTGCAACTTCTTGTCACAATATTCTACAAGATCACCTTATAAGAAGTGATAAGACCGTATAAGATTCTGTGACCAAAAATCACCTGATCTTTCAAAATCTTGTCAGTGAGAGTGGGCATTGAACCGACATGATCATACGATTTCTTGCAACAAAATCTTGTAAGATCTTACAAGAAGTGATGACTCATTCTTGCCGCATAAATTTTACTACGATATGCAGTATATATATATATATATATATATTGTGACAAAACTGAGAATTTTTGTCTTCCTTCAACTTCACACGTCAGTTGAGCACAAATAAAGTGCATAGCCATAAGGAACATAGTCAGACATTATCCTAAAGACGTCAGTGTCCTACATATAGTAGAAAATCTTGTGAAAAGAAAAAGACATTATTTTAAAGAGGATCTAGAGGGAATCTATAGGACAGCGCCAGCCAGATAACCTTGTAAGATCTGATCTTACGAAATACTGTCACTTCTTGAACAAACATACAAGATCTTACTTAATCTTGCTGCAAGAAAAATCTTGTGAAGTCTATATAAGAATCCTGCAGACATTTCATTGGAAATCTTGCAGCATCTTGTAAAGATTTCACTATATTTTACAAGATCTTCTCAGATCCTGTGAAATCTTGAGAAAAGATCTAAGATCGTATATGATCTTGTAAAATCTTATTTCAAGATTCAACGATCTGGAAAAACGCGAATACCATAAAATTTCTCGCATAAGTTTTCATAAGAAACAAATCTTTTGAAATCTTTTTGTAAAGTTGGGATAAGACTTCCTTGTTTATATGTCGTGTATACTAACCATATTACTTTCAAAGACGATAGTTTTGTTTTGCACCTGTTTTGAGGACAATATAGGCCCGCGAAAGTTATGATTCATACAAACCCCAAGTTGAAATGCTGCTGATGAAGCGAGGTCGGTTTAGTGCTGTAGAACTTACTATAAGAGTCGGCATGCGTTTCATCGGATAAGCTGAACAAGTCTTCCAGAATTCCAAAATCCGATTCTAATGGTGTGCTGCTCTGACTTCGAAAAGGCACTAGAAACGAAAAAGACAGAAAAATCATTTGAATCCCCTTCACCCATCCATTATGTCCACTGTTTCTTACGCTGTCTCCTCAGGATCCGTGTTCGTTCGACTGTACTTGGAAAGTCAGTACTTGTATAGTTAACTTCTAACTCTTCTCGCCTCTTATGGTGGCAATGGTAATAGTTTATTCAAGTACTCCGTTGAAGCTAGAATAAATCAGCTTCTACTTTCAAAAACTAGCAAAATCTGCAAACGATGGGTTTCTTTCTTTGAATAATACGTCTACTGAAATCACGAAACGTGCTTTTTGTTAATGCTTTTGACACTGTAGCCGAACGAACACACGAAAACTGTGGTATATAAAAAACGGTTCCAGACAAAATTCTTAGATATATTTAATCAACACAAGCGGGAAGAAAGTTTTAAAGCACATAACTTACATGTCTCGACGAGGGTAACCTTGTCTTGTTGCTCCTGAAGTAGAGCTGGGACTGGTGGTAACGGTTGTTGTTCTTGTGATCCTTGAACAGTTTCTTGGTGTCTTTGAACTGACGCATTTAGACGCTTCGAAACTGAAATGAGTTAGCGCAATTATACCTTTTAAATAACTTACGATTCGATCTGTCTACTCACGTGTTACAGATGTGACCTCTGAGATTGCTGCAGTTTCCCAATGTATAGCTTTTTCATCACAAAGTGCTACCAATATCCGAACATAGTCATAGTTTGCAAGTGGTTTTTGAATAACAGCTAGAAACCCAAAAGTTTATCAGGGCGACAGAGCTTAAGTTTTCATCTGAAAAATTCGTTATATCTCTGATAAAATTACGTATTGATCTTTGTTCGTCTTTCCCTTTACTAATGTCGAAACTTGTATCCAAAAATCGAATTGGTATTGGGTTTCTTGAATTGTTTCTGTTGACTACATCTTTACACGTAATCAGTGCTACTTTGAGTCTAAAAGAATAAACCATGTTTAAGTCGTGATAATTTTGGTGTCGGATATCACTCGTTTACTTTCGAAAAAATCCCGAAAAACTGGTATGGTATTTTAACATTTTTCTTAAACCCATATCCGGTCTGTGGTAGAACCACCGAAATTATGTAGCTTTGAAGCCGGAGAAAAATAAATGCATTAGCCAGCCGATTGTATGTTTTCAAAAACCTTCTAACGGGTGGCCCAGAAATAATGGCACACGTTTGCAACTTATTTCCGTGCACTTAACTGAGATTTTACGATTCCATTCCACGCTCATTTGATAGAGAATTTTCTGCTTTACAAAATCCATTACCTTCTTTTATTATATATTATATATAGAATTTATTATTTGATTGTGTAGAGTAAGGACACGTGCGCACACAATGCGCCCGAGTGCTACTTCATCATGGCTTATGCCGTATACTCATTGCTTTACGAAAAGAGGTAAATTCAAGGTCGAAACACCAATACTAGACATAGTGAAACAACAATCAACTTCCTTCCGAAAAGAGTGATGTCGTCGTCATTTTCACTAGCATTCAAAATGTGTCTCACCATTCTAGTCAAGGGCAGCGTGAGACAAAGTTATGAACTTTTATTCTCCTAAGAGGTCTTAGCTACTAGGCTGCTGATAAAGTTTTAAATGC